CCCTTTTCATGTTCACAGGCACAAAAACTAGTTTCTCACACCCTCTCTAATTGGTCCCTATTTCCAAGTTATTTTATTAGCAAAAATCATTCTGACATGCTTCCAAGTCTGCCAGGGAGAGGAAAGGATTCAGCCAATATAATTTTAGATGCCTACATCTGATCTAGTGAGACCCCGTTAGTCACCAGTGGGGAGAAAAACATACATCTACAACACAGTAAACCCTATCCCCATGCCAATGTCAAAAATAACTTTGAAGATCTCAAATACCTTGTTGTTTCTTGGTGGTTTTGCCAATAGATATTTACTGAACTATTCCCACATCTGACACTTAGATGTCAAACTGTTCACAGCTGATGAATTTTTTTGCAGTGTGTTCATACAGTGCATAGCACAACAACTAGCGTTCACAGACACTACAACATTTGACATGAAATGCGAGCAAGAAAGGAACCAAAAAAACACGAAGAAAAGGATTTCAAACGCCTTCCAAGGCATTGAGAATGACAGTTCTATGTGATTATGGCATAATTTCCAGAAAAACAGCCAGTCATGATTTAAAGGTTTTAAGGGATAGAGGACCTACACATGTGTCTCCCACTGCCAGGCTTTATGTTGGCTTTCAGTTAATCTTCTCAGTCTTCCCAATTTGCTCTCCAATTTTCAAAGAACACCACAAAGTAATAGACACACCACAACATGCTATCATGCTCAAGTATCACTTCTATAATGACACAGAAGTTACGTTAACCCTACTGCCACAAGATTACACCCCAAGAAGGGCACTTATTTGTGCATCTGGTCTCCTAAATTATTCCCCAAACAACTGAATTCCTGGGGGCAGGTGACCACGGTATCAGCACAAAGTGAATGCTTTGATGCAAAATATAAGGCCTTGCATAAGATGGGTTTTGGTGTGGGGTTTTGGGGCATTAGCACAATAGTAGCATTTTTCCCCATTCTGGAACTCCACAAGTCTTTTAAGAGATTTAAAAAAAAAAAAAAAATCATCAGTAAACTAATAGTTCGTTCAACCAAACCCTGTAGGTTTTTTGATGCAAGTTATCTTTACACCACGTACATCCTAACTTCTTCAATTAAGACGTTCATTACCCTGAACATAGTAACATTTCTGTCTAACTGCAAGAAAGACATTGCTATCAAATAGTTTTGCACTATTTTTAATTTTACCATCTCAGCTAAGCAAGAGCTAGGTTTATATAATTTTTAAGAGTTTTAAGCTTCATTACATATAACTTAGCACTGTCAGTCTGCACCCCTCCCACACATCAATGATTAGTCCACAGCACTGTGACTCACAAGCTGAGAACCATTGAATTGCAGCATTAAAAATAGGAGGAAAATCAAGCAAGGAAGTCTGAGCCAGATGTAACACTTGTGTTTGGGAGTGGATTAAGTGTTGATTCATCTGGTGAGGTGTGGCTTTCCACATTATCTTTTGCTTAAGTTAAGTAACAGTTCTGATTGTAATTGGTTTTCAACGTTTATAATCTTGCCAGACCTATCAACTACCCTATTTCCAATACAATGTAACTGAGAAGCCGATTTCAGCCAAATCATTCTGCTTCAGGGAAAATACTCTCAGGTCTGGTATACTTTTATATCTATTCGTAAACATATCTCTGTGCTTTGGATCGAGGACTTCAAATTCAGCCAGCTTTCAAAAACTGGACATTTTGCCCATGAGAAGGAGAACAGCAAATTCTAACAATGTTAAAATAGAACTGAAAGAGCAGGTTAAGGTCTGGAACCAAAACATTATTCAGCACATATTTGTCCATCATACATGAAGTCAGTACTAACTGTCGTTTCCCATGTAAATGTCACAGTAATTATATATTTACAGATTTCATAAAATGATAATGGAACAGACAAGTCAGCGAACACATCTGTAACTACAGAAATGTATTTATTCTGCTTAGTAGATGGAACGAGAATAAATATTGGCCAACAGCAAGTAGAACTGAATGAATTTTTAGATCTAAAATAAACTCTACTTTTAAGAACAAAATTAGGCTTAACTGTTGCAGAGAGGAGAAACAAAAGGAAACAAAGTCATCAAAGCTGAAATAACACTGCTGTCAAATTCTGTTCAAATTAGGCAAATTCTAAGTCTTCTCACAAAAAGAAAAAAAAAAAAAAAAAAAAAAAAAAGAAGAGTTGACAGAGTCAGTAATAAACTGATTTAAGTCTTAGCAGCTACAATTGCTAAGATTCCATCTGTTCTGTACATGTGCCATCCCAGGCCTTTGCCAGATCTGAGGACTGGGACTCTCTTCTGTATCGTCAGGGACAGCACACCCCTGCTGTGCTCTGTCAACAAAGCAGTAGTGCCTGTTTGAATACAGAGGTGACAAACTTGGAACCGTGTAGGATACAATTAATACAGACAGCTTGGTAAACAGAAACCAAGATTGCTGGTCAAGAAGAACAGAAAATATGGATGAAAAAACAGGGGCATGGGAATATAGCCAACGCATTATGTAATAATACCACCAGGAGAAACAAAAAAGTGACAGCTTTCAGAATATTTGTTGAAGAAATGAAAACAAGAGTGAACAACAGTAAGAAAGAGTCTAACAAACAACGTGGAAGAAGTATAAAAACATTTCAGAATGAGGAATCCTGCCAAAGAATCTGCAAAGACAACAGATCTGGTTTTAAGAGGCATGCTCAGAGACAGTTTCTCTGCAGAAATATTTTTGTTGGTGTTTACCATGCTATTCCATGGTAAAGGTCTCACATCAGAGTACTTCTTCATAGAAAACTCAAAGGGTCTGTTTCAAACAAAAGTGCTGGTAGAACTTAAAAACAAATTAACAAAATGAAAAGGAAAAAAAAAAAAGCTAATTGCCAGAATGAGAAGGTATTTACTCCTTGCGCTTTGAAGGAGCTATTGATGTTACTGAAAAATGTAACAGCTAAACTATTCAAGATAGCATATGATTTCTCGTTTAAAACTGCCCTAGTACCAGTGGTTAACATAATCACTATCTTTAAGTAGACGAGAGAACTATAGACCAGTAAGCTTGATAATTATACTGAATAAAGTGGTGCTAAGTCTAAAGCAGTTAGGGAATAAGTGAGTAAATATGATATAGTGCGTAAGAGTCACCAGGGCATTTGTGAAATAGTTATACTTCACAAATCTAATACAGCTTTTTAGGTGAAAAAATGTCCAGAAGAAAAAGTTGGTTGGCAGCCTACCGAGTTTCAAAAAGGCATTCCCCAAAGCCTCTTAAAGAAATTAAGCCACACTGCTATAAGACCTAATGTCCTTCCATGAATAAATCACTGGTGAAAAGACAGGAAATAATGGTGGGCCTTGATAGTCAGCTTTTGCAGTGGATGGAGTACCCAAAAGAGTTCCATGGGAAGCTGTTCTGGGACCTGTGCTTTTCAATATATTAGGGAAGCAGATGTCCACAGATGCTACTCAGAATAGAAAAGATGAGGGTCAACTGCAGAAACATGCACAACTTCTCTATTGGGAGTGGCTGGGAGGTGAAACAGGAGATAAAATTTAGTGTACGTAAGCATAAAGTGTGACAAAAAAGTAAACATGCTTCTAAATTTACACATGCATCAGCCTCTGAGCTGGCTATTATCACTCAGATAACCCCAAAATGCTACGTTAGTGTAGACACACACAACTAAGTGAACTCAGTGCTCAGCTGCAGACAAACAGGCAGACTATCAGGAATTGTCAGGAAAGAAACAGAGAACAAAACAAAACCCTCCATTAAACCACTCTACAATTGCATGCTGTACCAAACTCTTTAGTTGCTTCCTGATCCCAAATCAAATATAGTTCAAACTGGAAAAAGTACAGAATGTTACTGAATATCTCCTGTTCGAGGAACAAGTAAATAAAATAGTGTTCTTCAGACTAGAGAAGAGACAGCTGAGAGGGGCTGTGCTCTCTTTGCAGCACTCAAGTCACACAAAAAGGAAGCAGTTGTTCCCCATGTCTTCTACTGGGATACCTTGGTGAAATCACATGGAAACAGATGGCAAATGACAAATTCAACTTTAACAAAAGGAGACTGTTCTTCACATTCCAGGTAATCAAGCTGTAGATCTCTTTGCAATAGGCTCTTCTGAATGTTAAACACATGAGCATATAAAAGACTGGGCACCATTTTAGAAGGAAAGTGCATCCAGACCCACTAAACTCAGTGATGTCCCCTCTGGTTCAGGATACCCCACTGGTGGTTTGAAAACTATCATTGTGGGCTTGGTCTGTGTATTCTTCTCCCTATGCATGTGCTATTGCCTCTGTTAGAGGATGGACTCAGTGTGTACAGCTGGGTTTGCACATGCTGTTAGGTAGCAGAAGAGAAGGAGAAACAAGACTGCCTGAAGAGACTAAGGGCACAAAAGGAACAAGACAGAACACGTGCCGCAGGTAGTATAGTACGCAGGAGGGGTGTACAGGCCATAACTGGCAAGGTTTTGATGGGGGGAGGGCTGCAGGACTGAGTGTAACCTGTGGCGAGGTGAATGGAAAACAGAAAAAGGGGAGAAGAGGTTTCACAGAGGTTGAGTGTTTTCCCTAAGCGCGTGTGCTTGTTTCAATAGCAGAATCAGCAATTAGAAGTTTGTTAATTGACAATAAATTAAATTAGGAAATTAGGTCCTGATTTGAAAAGGTTACCTCCAATTAATTGGATTTTCTAAAACTACAACTATTTTTCACTTGAATCTCCAGGATACTCTTCCTTTTATCAAATGAGTGTTTGGTGGGCACCAATACCTTTCCCTTCAAAGCCCCTACAGAAACAAGGGATTCTGTTATCCAAAACAGGTCTCAGTAGTGTTGAGTTTGGGGAATGGAACCTCATACTCTGTTTTCAGTAACAAATTTCATGTTTGTTTCTAGATAGAGTATAATCTGCTGTTAAGTAGGAGTACAAAGAAGACAGTATGAGTTTAAAAACCAAGTAAAATATCAAAACAAGCAAGTGCTAAGATCTCACCTGCAGTAAGTACGAGCCAGGGGTATCTGCACTGGAATTCTCATTTTGTATCGTATTCTGCTGGGTAATAGCATCCTCCTTCTTTCGCTCCTTCTGCCCTGCTTCGTCATCTTCATATTCATCAAGGCTCTAAAAACAAAGATTTTCAGTTACAAGATAGTCTTTGTATGTTGCTTCACGTGCTTACCATATTTCATAAAATTCATGCAGCAGTGTACTTTTTCAAAGATTAATTTTACATTTCAGAAAAGTTTAATTAAAAGTTTACATATTTTTTTTCTTTTCATGGATATTGGTATCTCCAATACAAGAATAAAGTCTGACAAGTAACTGCTTTTTCTAAATACAAAAAAAAAAAGAAATAATCAAATCAAGATCCAGCTTGACAAAGCCCTAGGCAAGGTTGTCCGAGTTCAGTGTTAATCCAGCTGTGAGCAGGGGCTTGGGCTATACATGAAGTCCCTTCCATTTGAATGACTTTACAATCCCGTTTGTCATAAGCAATAATTTTACCTTTACATAAGAGACTTTGAGGAAGCACAGAAAAGGAAGAAAAAAAGAAGAAAGTTAATTGTACTCTTCACTCAATAGCTGACCTTTTTGACACATCTGCTGAGACTGAAGGGTCAGACTGAACCATCCATCTTAATTTTGCTCTCCTTGGTTTTTGTTTTGTCTCTAAACATTTTCTATTGAAAATTAGTAATTTTTACATTAGTTGGACAGTCATTAATTACTAACAATTGACACTAACGTAACATTTTGGTTCTTCACCACAAATGTTTCATATTAGATTTACTGAAATACTTGATTCAAATGGATTAAGTTTCTAAAGCACTAACTGCTGACAGGTGAGAGACAGGCAAATAATTTTTTTAATAAATAAAAATCAGTAACACTGGTCTAGCTCAAAGCCACATGGAGACCAGGATAGAAATGTGAGGACTCAACCAGCTTTGGACTAAGTCTACATCTATGTCTACATCAATCTATTAGCTTATCATGTACAAATTTACAAAACCAAAAAAACACAATCTCATGTTTAGAAGACCAACTTGAAGAGACACAAAGCTCCAGAAATAACTGACCAGAACATCACAAGCTGTTTGCCAGCATTCTGCATTAAAACAAGAGGTGTGCGAGACCTAGTTACAAAAGCACAAGGATTCTAAGGTATCAGAAAAAGCTTCTAGGTGAATGTGCGACAGCTTGAGAAACAGAGAACGGGGCTACAGGAAAACAAAGACGAATGTCAAACTACTTCAATGGAAGTTTCTAATATACAAATCCCAGTATCACTATTCTGAGGCTTAGATACTGACAATCTCTGATATCATTGCATCCAAAGGACACCAAACTAGTTGAAAACATGTAACGGGAAAGCTGGAATGTGGTATTTTTTTAAAAAGAAAACCAGTGTTATTTACTAACTGAAAATCACACCAGCATATAAAAAACTAACTTTGGCTACTCCAAAGCAAATACTATGGTGATAGAAGTCCTAGAAAACTGACAAACTAGGAAGGTGTATGTTCCCAAAAGTGAACATAACAAAAGTGAACATAAGTGAACCTCAGTAAAGGCCATTTAAATTCTCTACAGTAGCACTCATGGCAGAATCCTAATGCAATTTCACCAATCTACTTCTAATCAATGCTTTAATGCAACTGAGGTAGACCTGTCTACTTCTATCACTAAGAAAAGGCATACTTGAAAGATTATTACAGCTGAATCATTATACATTCAAACACACTTCCAATGAGTGGTCATTTCAAATAAAATAAATTAAAAAATATATTTAATTTGGTTCTCTCTAGTCCATTTTTAACACAGCATTTTAAAAACACTGTCACGGCACATTCTAGGAGGTGATCTTTACATTAATATCCTCTACCTTTTATAAACTGTAAAGCTTAAAAATTTTGGTAACATAAACTTTAGCCTGTATCCTAATTTATCCCATTACCCTAACAATCCATTCTGAAGTGACAAAGTAAGAAATAACGAGCCACTACTGCACCAAGAAATGGAGTCATCTTCAGCTCTTACAAACTCAGTCTTGTTCAGAAAGAACTACAAAGCTCACAGAAGGTCTCAAGTAAGACTAATGTCATGCAGATGAAGAATGATACTGTATTAGAAAAACAAGAAAACTTCTGGATTGTTCTTCCAGCCTCCAAGTTGTTCATGTAAGAATGAAGATCCCAGACAAATTCAAAGGAAAGTGATAGCTTGACACGAGTTTGGAAGAGCAGTCTCTAATAAGTGGAGAAGAAAACTCACTGGAGACAGAAGAGACCAGTAATCTTCAAGCACCTCAAATAAGCTTTGCATTTTCAAGGAACAACATTCTTTAAGGGGAACATAAAGCTCAAATTACAATATTGTAGGTAGAAAAAAAAAAAGTCTTTGTAGCAATTAAGAGACAAGTGCCCCTTTCTTCACAAATTCACTCCTTCTTCAGATACATACTTCTGATAAGCTTTCCAGAGACCATCAGCATTCCACAGAAATATTTTTCACTGAACACAATTACATCTCTGAAGAAGAATGTTCTTTTCTCTTTCGATATAAGATCACCTGCTACTAACTATTCTCTTAGAAGTTTTGGATAAAATGTCATCATCTGATGTGAAACTTCCAGCCACAAAATTTTAAGCTAAGCATTTTCACTGTGGATTTGCCAGCGATGTCCATTCCCACCCTTTCCCTTTTTCTCAGGAAGGTCCAAGATCACAAGACTGCTAATCAATACCATCAAAAGGTATTAAACACACCCCCACCCCCACTGCCAATAATTCGCACCTTCCAAAGTTAAAGGCTTTCTTTCCAAACCTCTGGAACAGAACAGTTAGCAACAGTTTATGTTAACCTAATTTGGAGCATACAACCTGCTTTGAAGGCTACTAGGGCTTGCTCCCGCTCCAGTTCCCTTCCCTGGAGCCCACCCTGAGCCAGCTGGGGCCAACACAAGTTTGAGCGGTGAGAACCCCAGAAGCAGCGGGCTTTTATTACTTGCTATGGATGAGGTAGAAGAGTCATGGACAGGTTGATCCTGACCATTTGCAGCCACTGTGGCACATTTGGTGAGGGTTGCCAATGCCTTCCTACCCTAAAGCAGATTACCAGTCAACTGCCAAGGACCTTCTGTGGTTTCCCAAACACCAAGGTTACGCTCCCCTTCCAAACATACCCATACAAACATACCCGCACAGTAATTTACACAATGCCCATGAAATGCCTGCTGAGCACAAGTCAACGTGATAACAGCTATGGAATTTTAACATTTCACTGCTTTTTACTGAAGTTAATTTTTGTTTCAATAACTGCTAGTCTTAATAAAGAAATCCATTTGTTTTGACTCACAATGAAATAAGCCTTCTTATGCAAAATATTAATACTTGACATTCGATATTCTGCTTATGCACTTCTCCATCAACTGCAGTTAGAGTGCTAATCTTATTGCTATCTATGTTCTAGGCTAAACTTGCAGAGTAATTAAAAAAAAAAAATCAATTAAAGCCAAGTTTCAGTTCACAGATTAATTATTACTGAAAAATTAAAAACATGCAAAGTGCTGTGGAACACAAATGGGTTTTGAGGTGTGTAAACTGCCCCGCAGCTGCAACTGCCTCAGCCCACAGGACATTTCAATCAGATGGATTACTGAGTTGCTCGCATTGCAGGCTTCTCTCAAATACTCCACTGTGCTTTAGAAACTAGTTTCACATCATTGAAAAAGACATAAATGCAGTAATTACTTTCTGTGTCAGCACAGCAGAGAAATGGACTTGTAACCACCAAGGTGTAATTCTGGCCCATTACAGAATTCTTCCTGTCCGTTCCCTTCCCCCTGCTTTTTTATTTTGCTGCTAGGCACAGACCATTTCAGATTCTTATTTTCCATTAAAATCATCTGAGTTTTGTACAGCAGATATTCAATGTGACATTCCCACATCTGATCTTAATATAAGGACTCCACAGAAATTCTTTAGGTTTTCTAGCATTTCAGTGCATGTTTGAAGCTGTAATACAAACATTTTTCTGTAAACCTCTAGTATGGAAAATACAAGCAGAGTAAGATGCTTTCAAAAGAATCAGACCGATGAAGGAAAGAAACAGCCACGAAGATATCCCCACATTCCAGCGCACCACCAGCCTACAGCTTAAGGAAACAACGCACAAAGAACGTTTCTAATGATGCACTGGTTTGCTTCCTATAAACATTTGTGCATTGCTATGAACAAACACAAATTGGGGAGGGAGCATCCTTTTCCATGAAAACAAGCGGTACTCCTACATGCAGAAGATGAGTTTCTGAGTGCACCCAAGCTGCTCTCGCCACAAGAAATGGTGCTGGGGAAAAAT